TTTTGCGTTCTCAAAAGTGTTTGTAAATATTGGTGTGGTAGAGCATCTTCTGCATCGTTTTCCTGCCGTTTTGAACAAAGTATCATAGTTATGCGTTTCGAACTACTCATGTTCTTTTGAAAAACAATTTGTTAGTCTCTACAAGAAATTGAAGGAGATACGATGAGTAACGGTAGGAATTGTGAATGTCGCATTCTGGACTGATTATACAAATAATCTGGGAGTTGTAACCTTTACCTTTTGCCTGGAGATAGTCTATCACTCTAATGAAGGAAGCATATTGGTCGTGGATTCGGGTATCGTTCTTGCCCAATGACACCAGTAAGGGTGATAAAGGGTAAACTCGGGATACTAAAAACGATTTAGTTTTGGTTCCTTTGAAAGCAGAACATTGTACATGAGACCAGTCCGCATACTTTCGACTACATGTTTCGTTCAGGGATGTACAACATTCAGGTCGCGTTCATACTTTGCGATTTGGGAGACTTCGTTAAGGGCGATGATGCGCCAAAAGAGTGGAGGGGTATCGATCAGCGCAGGACGCTACCCTTTACGGAGATTCGGCGATCCGGCGATTTGAGAGAATCGGCGATCTGGCGTTTTGGGTGACACCAATACCCATGCGCTCCTTTGGCGCAATAGCCGGGAACCCGAGTCTTCTGAATAGCCGGATCGCTCAATCTCCGCAGTTGGCACATCGATACCGTAATGAAGAATGTGTGCTTTGCTTGACGACCTTAACGCAACTTTACTTCCTATTGATATTGGGCTAAGAATTTAAGTGTCATTCAGTGAGCTTGAAAGTGGCTGGCATTTGTCGAAGTATTGGCACTGTAATCATCTTTTCTTCGAAACCATTCATTACGGTTATCGAATAAGCGAACTCCTACATATGTTCTAACTGAGTCTTTCCATCATACTGAAAATGTAGAAGTTGGTTGAAAATTCTTACAGCACTTTGCAGTCTCTTATTTTGGCTTTCTATGGCTCCGCTGAATTTTTTAATGGGTCGTAAAATTTGAGATTGCGTTGATACTTTCCGTGCGTTCATACTTTCCGTCAGCGTGTTGAGCACTTTGGGAGAAATGCCAAGGTTTTGGCAGGAAGGAACATAGTTGTCCATCTACCGCCTCCATATCGGTAACTATTCTTCTCGTTGCGAATAAAAAGCTCCAAACACTGACGAAAAGCTTGAACTCCGCCTTGTATGTGCGAGACGCTTTGATTGCTTTCCAAGTTTCACGGTCAGTTTTCTTCCTCAGGTAATAATGGCGGATGAAAAATACGATGCAGTTCTTTTTTCACTGGCGCAACAGTTGCCCGGAGGTGTCCCGGAATTTTTCGATGTTCTGTTCAGCTTTTTGGCAAGGTATGTTTATGGTATAGTTATTGTCAAGGTGGAGCATAATGAAACTTCTAACTGGGAAAGATCCTTTGAAAATGTGCCTTTATTTCATTCGGTTTCTTATTGAGCGCTTTACACTAATTATGAAACTCTGTTCTTCAGCTCTTCAAGCGTATCTTGATAGCTCATGCTGCGTTCATACTTTGCGCACGGCGCCGCCAGCGACTAGAAAAAGATAGGTATCGATCAAGCATCCGGCCGTCCACCTGCGTACTGTGCGGCAGTGTTTCGAGTGACTAGGAAAGTTCAGGGATCGATCTGGGGTACTTCAGCATATGACGGCGTAGTGGGCAGTTCCAGGCTTTAAGCTGGCTGTCGCTGAAGACGCTGGCTTGCGCTCAAAATTAACGGTAGATATCCGCACTTTCCGTCCTTCAGAACGCTGCCATACCTCAAACGTGTAGTGTGAACTCAGTCTCATCTCTGTTTGACTAAAGTCTGTGGCAGCTCAGACTTCGCGATGACGCGCGCCAACGCGCTACTACTGCTACTGCTCCAATGCTTCAGACGAGAACGCAACCGAAGGCGGGAATCGATGGGCGCCTGTCGCTTGTGTTTTGAGAGAGTATGGGGAATAGGAGGGTGCGCGTTGCCTAACACTGCCTGATATTGATCGGCAGTGGTTGCTAGTGCTATGGGAGAGTGTAGAAGAATAGGAGGAGGGTAGCAGATTGTCTAGGTGGTGCCTAGTCCCCCGTTATAAGGTACTCTCTTCAGAACGCAAGCGATCGATCTATTCCCGTCTGCATCTGCGATCGCTTATATAGCACGCTTGCAATGGTAGCGCGTCGACGCACGTTGGAGCGCGTCGACGCTCGTCATCGCGAGGCCTGAACGCTGCCTGATGGGATGAACTTCACAGGGCTGAAGGAAGGAGCTACATTCGAAGATGTTCATGATGTTGTGACGCAGACTTGGTCTTCGAGGAACCCCTTCCACCCTGGCCTTTTGAAGCAGACTTCTTTTAATTACAACGAATTCTTTAATGACAGGCTTTAGCACGTACGCATAGCGGGTTCGTCTGAGGAAGGGGCGAAACTGTATTTTGGAGTGCTTTTTTCCAATCATTTGTTTCTTTTTTTTGATTTCTTGGAACCCTCAAAGCTGTGCAACCTTTCGGTGGTTTTTCCGTTACTAACATAAGTAGTAAGGAGGAGTAGCTTACTGAGCTGCGAAAAGCCTTCAGTTGGGAGGGACTGTAATGTGGAGTTCGCGGTGGTTTTGTATTAGCGGGAAACTCGGAGATCGCTTGTGGTCACCTATCACTGGACGTGGATAAGCGCTACCCAAAATATATAGAAGTTTTACAGATTAGAGTCAAACTGGCCCCCACATTTTTGCTGGCTAGTTTTCAGTTGTTTCTGTCTCAGTGAAAGCGTTTCTCTTTTTAGGAAAACTGACTTCTACACTGGTGCCTCTGGACCTGAAGAAGCACGAAACTTACTTATGAAGTATTTCGAGAAACATGGCAAAGAGGCAGCGGAGGTAATGTGCGGAACTATTATGATGTTTTTGAGGTCACACGCATCTTTTAATGCGTCAATGTGCGTCTTTATGTTTTTGTTCTCTTCTTAATAAATGCCACCTGTCATTCATTTTATCCGCTGCTAAATTAGCTATTGATGGTAACTGGTTTTTATCTTGTTCTTGTTATTAAAATACTGGGAGGCGAAATGGCATTTATTATTCATTGTTTTTTTTGTGTTTCTAGCGTACCTGCCCTTGTTGCCCAGCACATCTCTTCATGAGAAGCACGCCCGAGTTCAGATAAGATGGTATATAACACGGATGAAGAAAAAACGGCACTAAAACCTGCCCGAGGTGCTCTATATAGGGCGTTGTGCTGGCGCCTGTACGAGCACGAGGTGATGAAAGGGCGTTGTCGGACGAGTTCTCACTTAATTATGTCAGTTTTTCTTCTCTTCATCATCTCAAACTCACCATCCGAAATAGAGGGAGGTAATGCGAAACAACCGCACCACGAGATACAGTCAAAAATGAAAGCTGGGCGTTGCCGTGGTTACTGGGCGGAACCGTGTTCCCGTCGTGAGCAGACGGCGTTTCCTCGCGCACCTTTGAGCCGCAGTAGTAGTACATACTCCACGTTTGCGGACAGGACCACTATGTCCAAAAAGGCGTCCACGCAATGAACGCGGGGCGTGCCTCCAAGAACACGGCTTATGGCATGCCAAAACTTCAAGGATAAATGACAATCGCTATTTGCCTTCTCTCTTACTTGTATTCTTCTGTGACACTTTTTTTGAACTCTCACTCTTTAATTCCTTACAATTCTCAATGGGCGTCAGTATAAGATTAATTTCATTCATCTAAATCATGTGCGTATATTCTATATGCTATGAGCTGGTATCATCTACGACAATTGTTTATGCCAAGGGCGCGTTCCGTCGCGACGTAAAAGAGCCGTCGGGCGCTGGCGATCATAGATCGATACCTATACTTTCCTGC